AATAATAAACAAGTGACATAAACATCACACAATAATAAACAAGTGACATAAACATCACACAATAATAAACAAGTGACATAAACATCACACAATAATAAACAAGTGACATAAACATCACACAAAAATCAACAGGTGACATAAACATCACACAATAATAAACAAGTGACATAAACATCACACAGTAATAAACAAGTGACATAAACATCACACAATAATAAACAAGTGACATAAACATCACACAATAATAAACAAGTGACATAAACATCACACAAAAATCAACAGGTGACATAAACATCACACAGTAATAAACAAGTGACATAAACATCACACAGTAATAAACAAGTGACATAAACATCACACAAAAATCAACAGGTGACATAAACATCACACAAAAATCAACAAGTGACATAAACATCACACAAAAATCAACAGGTGACATAAACATCACACAATAATAAACAAGTGACATAAACATCACACAATAATAAACAAGTGACATAAACATCACACAATAATAAACAAGTGACATAAACATCACACAATAATAAACAAGTGACATAAACATCACACAATAATAAACAAGTGACATAAACATCACACAAAAATCAACAGGTGACATAAACATCACACAAAAATCAACAGGTGACATAAACATCACACAAAAATCAACAGGTGACATAAACATCACACAAAAATCAACAGGTGACATAAACATCACACAAAAATCAACAGGTGACATAAACATCACACAAAAATCAACAGGTGACATAAACATCACACAAAAATCAACAGGTGACATAAACATCACACAAAAATCAACAAGTGACATAAACATCACACAAAAATCAACAGGTGACATAAACATCACACAAAAATCAACAGGTGACATAAACATCACACAATAATAAACAAGTGACATAAACATCACACAATAATCAACAAGTGACATAAACATCACCCCCCCCCCCCACACAAAAAATAATTTTGTAAATAAAAACACACGATATAACACAAAAATAAATGACATCAACATTACCTGGATTTAAACACACAACATCCCCGTGTGGGTTCCGGGGCCCCATCGTGGAGAAAACAAGGGTAGACCCTCTGCCTACCCAAAAGCATGTCGTAAGAGTCGACTAATTGGGGAGCTTCCTTTGAAGTCGGAGTGCATCTGCCTGAGAGGCAAGGAACCAACAATCTGCATTCAAGTGAATCAGATCTGTAAAACTGATGCACACACAACAGTCAGGTTCTGGAGCAGGACTGCAGTTCAGAAGTGGCCGAACAACCAGAACTTTCCACCAGAGTGTACAGCTGGTGAACATGAAGAAGAAGAAACACACAACATTACCATTTAAAAAAAAAAAAACTGACATAAACATCATAGTTTAGATTGGAAATCACCAAGAAAACTTTCAGAAGAAGCTAAAATCCACCTCCTGTGTAAACAAAGACTGCAAAAGTGAGGAGCCCCTGTCTCATGTAATGAGTCAGGTTATGCTCTCAGTGCTCAGATTGTCCCCTCAACACAAACATCAGTCACAGTGCTCAGATTGTCCCCTCAACACAAACATCAGTCACAGTGCTCAGATTGTCCCCTCAACACAAACATCAGTCTCAGTGCTCAGATTGTCCCCTCAACACAAACATCAGTCTCAGTGCTCAGATTGTCCCCTCAACACAAACATCAGTCTCAGTGCTCAGATTGTCCCCTCAACACAAACATCAGTCACAGTGCTCAGATTGTCCCCTCAACACAGACATCAGTCACAGTGCTCAGATTGTCCCCTCAACACAAACATCAGTCTCAGTGCTCAGATTGTCCCCTCAACACAAACATCAGTCACAGTGCTCAGATTGTCCCCCTCAACACAGACATCAGTCACAGTGCTCAGATTGTCCCCTCAACACAAACATCAGTCACAGTGCTCAGATTGTCCCCTCAACACAAACATCAGTCACAGTGCTCAGATTGTCCCCCTCAACACAAACATCAGTCACAGTGCTCAGATTGTCCCCTCAACACAAACATCAGTCACAGTGCTCAGATTGTCCCCTCAACACAAACATCAGTCACAGTGCTCAGATTGTCCCCTCAACACAAACATCAGTCACAGTGCTCAGATTGTCCCCTCAACACAAACATCAGTCTCAGTGCTCAGATTGTCCCCTCAACACAAAACATCAGTCACAGTGCTCAGATTGTCCCCTCAACACAAACATCAGTCACAGTGCTCAGATTGTCCCCTCAACACAAACATCAGTCACAGTGCTCAGATTGTCCCCTCAACACAAACATCAGTCACAGTGCTCAGATTGTCCCCTCAACACAAACATCAGTCACAGTGCTCAGATTGTCCCCTCAACACAAACATCAGTCACAGTGCTCAGATTGTCCCCTCAACACAAACATCAGTCTCAGTGCTCAGATTGTCCCCTCAACACAAACATCAGTCTCAGTGCTCAGATTGTCCCCTCAAACACAAACATCAGTCTCAGTGCTCAGATTGTCCCCTCAAACACAAACATCAGTCACAGTGCTCAGATTGTCCCCTCAACACAAACATCAGTCACAGTGCTCAGATTGTCCCCTCAACACAAACATCAGTCACAGTGCTCAGATTGTCCCCTCAACACAAACATCAGTCACAGTGCTCAGATTGTCCCCCTCAACACAAACATCAGTCACAGTGCTCAGATTGTCCCCTCAACACAAACATCAGTCTCAGTGCTCAGATTGTCCCCTCAACACAAACATCAGTCACAGTGCTCAGATTGTCCCCTCAACACAAACATCAGTCACAGTGCTCAGATTGTCCCCTCAACACAAAACATCAGTCACAGTGCTCAGATTGTCCCCTCAACACAAACATCAGTCACAGTGCTCAGATTGTCCCCTCAACACAAAACATCAGTCACAGTGCTCAGATTGTCCCCTCAACACAAACATCAGTCACAGTGCTCAGATTGTCCCCCTCAACACAAACATCAGTCTCAGTGCTCAGATTGTCCCCTCAACACAAACATCAGTCTCAGTGCTCAGATTGTCCCCTCAACACAAACATCAGTCTCAGTGCTCAGATTGTCCCCTCAACACAAACATCAGTCACAGTGCTCAGATTGTCCCCTCAACACAAACATCAGTCTCAGTGCTCAGATTGTCCCCTCAACACAAACATCAGTCACAGTGCTCAGATTGTCCCCTCAACACAAACATCAGTCACAGTGCTCAGATTGTCCCCTCAACACAAACATCAGTCACAGTGCTCAGATTGTCCCCTCAACACAAACATCAGTCTCAGTGCTCAGATTGTCCCCTCAACACAAACATCAGTCACAGTGCTCAGATTGTCCCCTCAACACAAACATCAGTCACAGTGCTCAGATTGTCCCCTCAACAAAAACATCAGCATCAGACAGCAAAAAATGCCAGCTTATGTTGGTGGACAAGACTTCTAGTACGTAAGGCACATCTCGTGCCTGGCTATACTCATCTTTAGTCCCAGTTCTCAAATCTGTTAGCAGCTTCACAGACATGTTGCCCCTGAATGCTCAGATACTCCCCCCCCCCCCCTCTCTCTCTCTCTCTCTCTCTCTAAGAGCACTAACAATGTCGATGTCATCTATCAGCAGCCATGATGCAACCACCCAATGTATCTGCTATTTCCTTTTCAACAACACTCAGACTGTCAAGCCTCCTTAGACATCTCTTATGACATGCATGACAGATTAGAATGTGACAATTCTATGGTTACTTCACAGAAGTCAATAGACTGTACAGAATAAAACACACTAAGCAGCATTCTGCTCCAATGACCTCCCCCCCCCCCCCCCCCCCAAAAAAAAAAAACTTTACACAGGCCACAAATATAATTTTAAAAATTCCATTTATAAAAAAAAAAATTTTAAATATAAAATTCCACACAAAATCAGAGGAGTTATCATAACAGAGAAATTAACATTAAAAAAATTGTTAGTGACAGTTTAACTCTGTGCCCAATGTGGAAATTACCATGTAATTATTTATATCATCTTTTCTCAGGAAATCCTTCTAAATGTTATTTTCAGTAATTATGGGCATTCCCAGCCCTAGGTAAATGTGTGCGTAGGTGCAAACAACAACAATGCTGTTTGACAGGCCTCTCATGGAAACTACAGCCAAATCAGTAAAGTGACTTCATCAGGAAACTTGAGCCCAACTGGAAATGGTTGTAAAACTTCTTTGGTTATCAGGGTTAGTATGCACACAGACTGGTTGAATATACAGGGCCATATTTACTCTATACAACAGGTACACTCACACACATGCAAACACAGACTAAATAAGTCGGACAGTATTCACCTTCTTCTTCTTGTCTCTATATTCCTGGAATGTCTCGCAGTGTCAGGGTTGCAACAGACATCCGGAACTGGCTCTTCTGTTCGCTCCCACGACACCTCTATAACATTGTTCTCTGTAGAGCCCTTTCTGTTGCCAAACTTGCTACAAACCATCTGATCTGTTGTCTACGAATATAGTTCAGTTTTGTACATTTCTGTCACACACAACATCTCAACAGCATAAACCTTCTCTATTCAACACCTGAATATAAGGATAGAAAAGACACCCATATGGCTGTAAATTTCTCACACACATTCTCTTTCTCTCTCAAAAGCATAAACCCTGTATTCAACACTTTACTACAAGGACAGAAAATACTCCAATAAAGCTGTATCTATCTCTCTCTCATACTCCCCCCCCCCCCCTTCTCCAACTTACACAAGGTCGTAAGAGCACTTTTTTTTCCAATCTCAACAAATAAATTTACATAAAATACACATTAAAAAAAACTTTCTATTAAAAGAGAAACACCTAGCCTTTTCATAGACAACTATATAAACTTTCATCAATAAAAATACAGAAGATAAAATATCTCTACACTGTGACCAGTCATGTTAAGGCAAGAACAATTTCTAGTCACCCTCGCGGTTTGACCAGACACTGGCCGAAGGTGTGGCTATTTTCTAGTGACCAAAGGTTTCTCAAATAAACTAGACTCCCCATCCTCCTCGCCACTTGAAGGTTCATCGTGGTACTCTCTGCTGGTCTGGGCTGCAAAGTAAGCCTGCGGTTTCATGGGGAAGGAGTTCTTGTCCATCACAAACGAGTCCAAGCTGTCGCTGTCATCTTCGTAATCAGCACTGGGGATCTGCCGGAAGCCCATCTCATCCAACTGCATGTTTCCAGACTTCTTCATACACATCACTGCCGTGATGAAGATGATGAGAAGAAGGACAAAGCAACCTGAATGGGAAATGAATTTTGTTTCCTTAATACAGTGTCAGATGTCATAAAAAGCCTGCTTTAGGTAAATAATGTAATAATCTGCCAATGACTAATGTTATAGTAAACCCACCTATGTCAAATATCATAAGCCCATCTATGTCAAATGTCACAGTAAGCCCACCTCTGTCAGATGGCATAATAAACCCACCTGTGTCCGATGCCATAATGAACCCACCTATGACAAATGTCCTAAACCTATCTGTGTCAAATGTCATTATAAGCCCACCCATAACAAATGTTATAATAAATCCACTCATGTCAAATGTTTTAAACCCACCAGTGTTAAATGTCATAAGCCCATGCATGTCAAATGGCATATAAGCTAACCTATGTCAAATGGCATAAAAGCATAAAAGCCAACCAATTAAAAATTTCATTACAAGCCCACCAATGTCAAATGACACAATAAGCCCCCCCTCCCCATTTCAAATGGCATAAGCCCACCAGTGTAAAAAAATATGATAAGCCCACCCAGAATTAATGACATAAGCCCACCAGTGTAAAATGACTTGGATAAGTTTATCAGTGTCAAACAACATGAGAAGCCCACAAGTGTCAAACAACACAAGAAGCCCACAAGTGTCAAACAACAGGAGAAACCCACAAGTATCAAACAACAGGAGAAGCCCACAAGTGTCAAACAAAACAAGAAACCCACAAGTGTCAAACAACAGGAGAAACCCACAAGTATCAAACAACAGGAGAAGCCCAAAAGTGTCAAATAACAGGAGAAGCCCACAAGTGTGAAACTGTTGGTTCCACATACCTCAACCAGATGTGCTGACTTCACTAGCCAGACTCAACTAGTGTTTAATGATAATAGGAAAAACGGAAACTGTTAAATGGCACAAGAAACCAACCACTGTTAAATGATACAAGAAACATACTAGTGTTAATTAACATAAAAACCTGCAACTTTTAAATGGCATAAGAAACCCACTAGTGCTAAGCTAAATGACACAAGAAACCTGATAGTGTTAAAATACACAAGAAACCTACTAGTGTTTAAAATACACAAGAAACCCACTAGTGTTAAAATACACAAGAAACACACTAGTGTTAAAATACACAAGAAACCCACTAGTGTTAAAATATACAAGAAGCCCACTAGTGTTAAAATACACAAGAAACACACTAGTGTTAAAATACACAAGAAACCCACTAGTGTTAAAATACACAAGAAACCCACTAGTATTAAAATACACAAGAAACTCCCTAGTGTTAAAATACACAAGAAACCCACCAGTGTTAAAATACACAAGAAACCCACCAGTGTTAAAATACACAAGAAACTCCCTAGTGTTAAAATACACAAGAAACTCCCTAGTGTTAAAATACACAAGAAACCCACTAGTGTTAAAATACACAAGAAACCCACTAGTGTTAAAATACACAAGAAACCCACTAGTGTTAAAATACACAAGAAACACACTAGTATTAAAATACACAAGAAACTCCCTAGTGTTAAAATACACAAGAAACCCACCAGTGTTAAAATACACAAGAAACCCACTAGTGTTAAAATACACAAGAAACCCACTAGTATTAAAATACACAAGAAACTCCCTAGTGTTAAAATACACAAGAAACCCACCAGTGTTAAAATACACAAGAAACTCCCTAGTGTTAAAATACACAAGAAACTCCCTAGTGTTAAAATACACAAGAAACTCCCTAGTGTTAAAATACACAAGAAACCCCTGAATGTTAAAATACACAAGAAACCCCTGAATGTTAAAATACACAAGAAACCCCTGAATGTTAAAATACACAAGAAACCCCTGAATGTTAAAATACACAAGAAACCCCTGAATGTTAAAATACACAAGAAACCCCTGAATGTTAAAATACACAAGAAACCCCTGAATGTTAAAATACACAAGAAACCCCTGAATGTTAAAATACACAAGAAACCCCTGAATGTTAAAATACACAAGAAACCCACTAGTGTTAAAATACACAAGAAACCCACTAGTGTTAAAATACACAAGAAACCCACTAGTGTTAAAATACACAAGAAACCCACTAGTGTTAAAATACACAAGAAACCCACTAGTGTTAAAATACACAAGAAACCCACTAGTGTTAAAATACACAAGAAACCTACTAGTGTTAAAATACACAAGAAACCCCTGAATGTTAAAATACACAAGAAACCCCTGAATGTTAAAATACACAAGAAACCCCTGAATGTTAAAATACACAAGAAACCCCTGAATGTTAAAATACACAAGAAACCCCTGAATGTTAAAATACACACACACACAAAACCACCAGTGTTAAATGACACTAGGAATCCACCAGTGTTAAATGACACAAGACACCTATTAGTGTCAAGTAACACAAGAGGTGCACTAGAGACAAATGACACAAGACACCTATTAGTGTCAAGTAACACAAGAGGTGCACTAGAGACAAATGACATGTTAGCAAACTTACCAACAATAGTGACTGTCAGCATCGGCGACATCCCGAGCAGCCAAGTTCTCGAGTTCATGAACACCATCACCTCACGGGCATTTGGTCCTAGCAGCACCCGCACATCCTTGACAAGACAACAAAAAGAGATTCTCTTCAATAAAGTAATGATTTCTCAAAGTTAATCACATTCTTCAAGGCACATTTTCAAATGTTTTCTCAAAGTTAATCACATTCTTCCAGGCACATTTTCAAATGTTTTCTCAAAGTTAATCACATTCTTCCAGGCACATTTTCAAATTTTTTCTCAAAGTTAATCACATTCTTTCAGGCACATTTTCAAATGTTTTCTTAAAGATAGTAACATTCTTTCAGGTATCATATTTTAAGATGTTTTCTCAAAGACAGTCTTCTCCAGATTCCATATTTCCAGATATTTTCTCAAAGACAGTCTTCTCCAGATTCCATATTTTCAGATATTTTCTCAAAGACAGTCTCCTCCAGATTCCATATTTTCAGATATTTTTTCAAAGACAGTCTTCTCCAGATTCCATATTTCCAGATATTTTCTCAAAGACAGTCTTCTCCATATTCCATATTTTCAGATATTTTCTCAGACAGTTTCCTCCAGATTTCATATTATCAGATATTTTTTCAAAGACAGTCTCTTCCAGGCAAGCAATTTTGTAGATGTTTTCTCAAGGATATACAATCTTTCAGGTATCAAATGTGGTGGTGGTGCTGGTGGTGCAGAAGAAGAAGAAGAAGAAGAAGAAGAAGAAGAAGAAGAGGAGGAGGAGGAGGAGAAGGAGGAGGAGGAGGAGAAGGAGAAGGAGGAGAAGGAGGAGGAGAAGGAGGAGGAGGAGAAGGAGAAGAAGGAGAAGAAGGAGGAGGAGGAGGAGAAGGAGGAGGAGAAGGAGGAGGAGGAGGAGGAGAAGGAGGAGAAGGAGGAGGAGGAGGAGGAGGAGAAGGAGGAGAAGGAGAAGAAGGAGGAGGAGAAGGAGGAGGAGGAGAAGAAGGAAGAGGAGAAGAAGGAGGAGGAGAAGGAGGAGGAGGAGGAGGAGGAGAAGGAGGAGGAGGAGGAGGAGGGGGAGGAGAAGGAGAAGCAGGAGAAGGAGAAGGAGGAGAAGGAGAAGAAGGAGGAGGAGGAGAAGGAGGAGGAGAAGGAGGAGGAGGAGGAGGAGAAGGAGGAGGAGGAGGAGGAGAAGGAGGAGGAGGAGGAGCAGCAGCAGAAGAAGAAGAGGAGGAGAAGAAGAAGAAGAAGATTGATTAAACAGGACAGAAAGGATAGAAGGAATAGACTGGAAGCCGTATGTGACATATAATGGCCAAAACATAACAACGATGATATAATAAATATGGACAAAAATAAAAAAAAATAAACAGTGTTGATTTATTAAATAATTTATATTTTTTTAGGTAAAGGGACAAGTCTTGCAACATAAGTTTCCCAGCGAAGATTTTCTTTATTCTGCATTTCTCTTGAAAGGATGGTTGGCATGTGTGTTGTAGTTTACAGCTAGGCTGCGACATCTTCACCTATTGGCCTAACACTTTGGATTTCAGCTTCCAATTAGTGGCCTTTTATGAAATAGCAAACATGGACCCCGGAACCCACAAGGGATAGCCAAAATTCAACAAAAAACACTTACCATTTGTGTATCTCTATGGCCGACAGCCATAGTTTTTAAAGTGTATGTCCCATTTGGAAGGTAAAATGCAAACCGCCCTTGGTCATCCGTGTACTGGATGTATCCAGATGGCACAGCCTCAACACGGACTTTAGGCAGAGGCACTTTAGAGTCTTCGTCAACAACTACTCCAAATATTCCTTTTCTAGCCTGGGATATCAACAGAAACTAGTTAAAGGCATATCTCTGATCCCCAGTGTTCTAGCAAGTACCACCACAGCTTTCCCTTAAATGTCATAATATGTTGTCAAGAACATAGCTGACACTCTCAGGCATTGCAATATCTCAAATGTCACTACCTACATATATGAGAGTCAGTCAATGCATTATTTCAGATCACATTACAATATCTCAAATGTCACTACCTTCATATATGAGAGTCAGTCAATGCATTATTTCAGATCACATTACAATATCTCAAATGTCACTACCTACATATATGAGAGTCAGTCAATGCATTATTTCAGATCACATTGCAATATCCTCATCTCCTTCTTCTTTGCGTTCACAGCCTGTAAACTCCTGCGGAAAGTTCTAGTTGTTCTTCCATTTCTGGACTTTAGTCTTGTTCCAGATTTTGAGTTTTGCGTGCACATCAATTTACAGATCTGGATCAGTTGTGTGCAGACTGTTGGTATCTCACCTCTGAGGCACATGCACTCCGATTTAGGAGGAAACCCACTTAGTCACTTTTTACAACAAGCTCGTTAGGGTGGGTCTCATCTACGTACCCCAAACTGGGGCACCAGAACCCATAGGGTGGGTCTCATTTATGTCCCCCAAACCGGAGCACCAGAACCCACAGGGTGGGTCTAAACTATTCCCCCAAACTGGGGCACCAGAACCCATAGGGTGGGTCTAAACTACTCCCTCAAACTGGGGCACCAGAACCCATAGGGTGGGTCTAAACTATTCCCCCAAACTGGGGCACCAGAACCCATAGGGTGGGTCTCATCTATGTCCCCAAACTGGGGCACCAGAACCCATAGGGTGGGTCTAAACTATTCCCCCAAACTGGGGCACCAGAACCCATAGGGTGGGTCTAAACTATTCCCCCAAACTGGGGCACCAGAACCCATAGGGTGGGTCTAAACTATTCCCCCAAACTGGGGCACCAGAACCCATAGGGTGGGTCTAAACTATTTCCCCCAAACTGGGGCACCAGAACCCATAGGGTGGGTCTAAACTATTTTCCCCAAACTGGGGCACCAGAACCCATAGGGTGGGTCTAAACTATTTCCCCCAAACTGGGGCACCAGAACCCATAGGGTGGGTCTAAACTATTTTCCCCAAACTGGGGCACCAGAACCCACATGGGTTCATATGTCATCTCAAACAAACAATGGAGTCACACTCAATGCTTTTTTTCCAATAACATCACATACATCATCATCTACATAATTACATTCTGACCACATTAATTATTCAAGATGACATGACAATAAATCATAATTTTCTTCAAAATCAGTTAGTTTATATTTTTCTCCTTGCCATTTCAATTAATTTGCATGCGAGGATAATGACTTTAAAAAAAAAAAGGTAGTGTTTAATGCAATGAAATGCGTGTGCAGCTGCTGATTTTTGTCTTTGCTACAAGTAGTCATGGCAGTGACGGAAGCAAAAACATGGCTAGAGACTAGACTTTGATTCATGCATGTTTTCTCAGTGACTCCATGAGTCTGCTCAGGAAGACGAAGAGTTGGGTCGGGTCTGAAGGCAGTCTTTGGTGTCTCTGAGGTAGTCAAGGCTAACAAAGATCAGTTTCATTCTTGCACTAGAGCATGCAGGTATTCAAGGAACTAAGCCAGCTGATAGGCTTGACGGTAAATGGTACTTAGTAAATCTTTGCAGACTTCTGACCAACAAAAGGGCTACTTGTTCACTCCTTCGCTTCATCATCCAGATGACCAATCAACCTGTTTAATCATTCACTTCATCATCCAGATGACCAGTCAACCTGTTTAATCATTCGCTTCATCATCCAGATGACCAGTCAACCTGTTTAATCATTCGCTTCATCATCCAGATGACCAGTCAACCTGTTTAATCATTAGCTTCATCATCCAGATGACCAGTCAACCTGTTTAATCATTCGCTTCATCATCCAGATTACCAGTCAACCTGTTTAATCACTCGCTTCATCATCTTGATGACCAATCAACCTGTTTAATCATTCGCTTCATCATCTTGATGACCAGTCAACCTGTTTAATCGTTCGCTTCATCATCTTGATGACCAGTCAACCGGTTTAATCATTCACTTCATCATCCAGATGACCAGTCAACCTGTTTAATCACTCGCTTCATCATCTTGATGACCAGTCAACCTGTTTAATCATTCGCTTCATCATCTTGATGACCAGTCAACCTGTTTAATCATTCACTTCATTATCCAGATGACCAGTCAACCTGTTTAATCATTCACTTCATCATCCAGATGACCAGTCAACCTGTTTAATCATTCGCTTCATCATCTTGATGACCAGTCAACCTGTTTAATCATTCGCTTCATCATCTTGATGACCAGTCAACCTGTTTAATAATTCACTTCATCATCCAGATGACCAGCCAACAACTGTAGTCCTTTCTTACCAACATCAAGAAGGACAAAATAAACAACCTGTGGCCTCTATAGTCATTACTGTCAGATCATACAGACTCTTATTGGTGCACGTAGAAATGGATCTCTGTGAGGCTGCTGAAGGTGTAGACAGAGCACTTATGGACATGTCCTGAGTGTTGATTCTGAACTAATGCTCACCAGCTTAACAAGGTAATTATGCAACCATACTTCCCCGGACGTGAACGGACTCACCTCGTAAATGACCGACATCAAAGCCTGTTGCACCTGTTGCCACATCTGGGTCAGCTGCTCAGGAGGAGGGTAGCGACAACATCCCAAGTTGATCTCCACCGCAGCACAGTGCTCATGGTTGTGCAGGTAGGACTGAAGACACAAAGAAGAAACAACCTGTTACTTACAGTCTTGCAAATGGGAACTCCTTTCGCTGAAAAAACATCGACCACACAAACTACAGGACAAGGCTTTTCAACTAACTTTATTGAGGAGCCCAAATTTGGAGACTGGATAGTGTCACATACCAGAGACACAAGCCCCAGTGTCCAAATGTCATTCATAAAATTGGTAGTCATCTGCAGGCCGTATGCTAGGCCTCTGTGAGCTGCCAGTTGAATAGACTTCTGTACGATTCCTCTTTCATCTGCAGGCCATTTGGTAAAACTCTGTGAGCTCCCGGTTGAAAAGCCTTCTTTACGATTCCTCTTTCATCTGCAGGCCATTTGGTAAAACTCTGTGAGCTCCCGGTTGAAAAGCCTTCTTTACGATTCCTCTTTCATCTGCAGGCCATTTGGTAAAACTCTGTGAGCTCCCGGTTGAAAAGCCTTCTTTACGATTCCTCTTTCATCTGCAGGCCATTTGGTAAAACTCTGTGAGCTCCCGGTTGAAAAGCCTTCTTTACGATTCCTCTTTCATCTGCAGGCCATTTGGTAAAACTCTGTGAGCTCCCGGTTGAAAAGCCTTCTTTACGATTCCTCTTTCATCTGCAGGCCATTTGGTAAAACTCTGTGAGCTCCCGGTTGAAAAGCCTTCTTTACGATTCCTCTTTCATCTGCAGGCCATTTGGTAAAACTCTGTGAGCTCCCGGTTGAAAAGCCTTCTTTACGATTCCTCTTTCATCTGCAGGCCATTTGGTAAAACTCTGTGAGCTCCCGGTTGAAAAGCCTTCTTTACGATTCCTCTTTCATCTGCAGGCCATTTGGTAAAACTCTGTGAGCTGCCAGTTGAAAAGCCTTCTGTACGATTCCTCTTTATCTGCAGGCCCTATGCTAGGCCTTTGTGAGCAGCTGGTGGTATAGCCTTTCCGTAGGAGATTCATCTTCATCTGCAGAGATATTCACATGCAGCCCATTCCTCAACCAACCCACACTGAGTCTGTTGTAGACCTGAATGGTTTGATTCTGCAGCCCAAGCTTGACAAGCAAGGACCCTGACAGCCTCCCACTAACTTTTCTTACTTCCCTCTTGAGAAATATTTGGTAGATAACACCCCCCCCCCCCCCCCCCCCCCCTCGCTAAATCAGTTCATTACCTTTTTTAACATTTATGTGGTGAAAGTGCTAAAGTGTTACTATTCAATGCTTACTTTATCAGCAAATGTAACCAATATGGTTGACTCATTGCTGGGCAGTCACTGCAGCTGCAAGAATGATAATTCTTCTATATCTGCAATGTGTCTCTGGTATGAACTTCATCGTCTTTTGAAATTCTCTAAGCGACCCTTAAGTTTTGCTTGCACTCATGTTTCTTGTGGCCAGAAGTTTGGCCTTGATATACTGCTTTTGGGACAGTCTTGGAGGACATGATCTGTTGTCTCAGGTGCCAGTCCACATGTACACATGTGTGATTCACCAATCTTAAATTGTGTGTACATGTGGCTGCGATTGTGTCCTGGTCTAAGGCGTAGAATCAAGATTTGCTCAGGTCTGTTCATAATATGGTTATCAACTTGTGACGATTTTAGTGGCTCTCTGATTGAAAGTGATATAATATAAAAAGGAGGAGGAACCTTACCATGAAACTGCCAGGATGTGCCAGGTTTTTGTCATACTCTAAAGCAGCTGACGATGAAGATGCTACCGAGGAAGAAATGAGGGGAAACAAATAATACATTAAACAATAAACATAAATAAAGAGTGTTTAAGCAAGACGACTGACGTCAATGGTTTTATCCCATATGGGTCAATCTCTCTCCTGAAGATTACCTGGTTGCCCCTTGTGTGAGTTGCACATATCACAATCTCCAAAGTTCCAGCAATGATCTCCAGGGATCCCTAAAACACTTCAACAGTGAACTCATGACCTTCACGGAGTGCAGAATGTCATACCTACTGACTGCTTTGCGCACCCCATCATAGATAATTGGACGATTGGTGAAAAATTGGTCATGTGATGAGAGGGAGAAAACTGGAGTACATCGTGACAGCTGGGAGGCTGGAGAGCAGAGGGAGACCAAGAGAGAGAGAGATGCTGGACAGTTTGACATCCTGGCAAGAAGATCATCAGTGTCAGAATTGTTTAAAAGTACTTGAGACAGAAGGTTGTGGACAGACATGACTACCGATGCCACAAGGTATGGACAGTATGAAGATGTGCCCCTATGCCTGTCATTGCTGTCTGTCTTGTTCCATAAATAGGTGTAGTATTTTCCTCTAGAAGTAAGCTTTCATCTAGTGAAAATTTATACAAACCACACGCATATTTTGTGTTCAAGCTCTTTAGCTCTAGAGTCAGTAGCACATAGACCTGAGAATCTGCAACACAAGCTACTCTGCCTTGATAAAGACTTCAAGCAAAACAAACTTTCCATGACCCATAATGGAACAGGTTCAAACACTGACTATTAATTACTGAAGGAGGAGGAGAAGAAAGAGGAGATAAAAAGAAAACAAAGAAAAAGAATAAAGTAGTGCATTTTTTTCTGTTTGCCAATGAAGAATTTCTAGCCAAAACAACAACTCTGCCACTTGTCACTGTTATCTTGTGGAGCTAATCCTTTCTTCTTCTTCTTTTTCTCCTCCTCCTTTTCCCCCATTGCATTTATACAAGTTTGCTGTATCCAACCTATTACAATAACAAGAATGTGCTCTCTATCTAGACAATGAAGGTTAGCCGCCAGGAAACGAACTACTGTCTTTGGGAATATTACCTTGGGTGTACCCAAACTCTTCCACAGCATGATTCTTGTACCACTGTCCAAAAGGTACAAAAATGGACCATTTAATCCACACACAAAAATCTTACACTCCGAGATCAAACAAATGTGTTGAGGAACATGAAACTGTGAAACGCCATCATTAACCTGTGAGCTACAGAGCTATACTGTTAGACGAATGATACAATCAACACCTGCAAAAATATACTTACATTTCTGCCCAGGGCACCCAAAACTGCTGGGCTTCTCTGGAAGACCATTGATAAAAGCGTTTGCTAAATCTGAAACAAGATTTAAAGTGAAGAATGAAATTGAATACCATACCCGGGGCCAAAAACAAATATGTATTGGGCGTCTCATGCCGCAATCTCTATCACTGAGGTTTACGGGAATATTTTAAGTCAGCCTGGCTTTAAAAAAGTCATTGAGGTCACAAAGAAACGCTTCTAAATGCTCTTTAGTTAATATATTCAAATCCAGGCCTCTCAAACATTACTCAGAGCACAAATGATCAGCAGATTTTAACTTCATTTTTGGAGAAGAGGTCATTACAGACATGGCCATTATCAACATCACTTACCTTGCTGACTGGCGTGGGCGATCATGCCTCTCCACAATCTGCGATCTGAAACTGCATGTACTAGCTTGTGCGTTGACACCCCTCCATGCCATTACAAAAGGCGGTCTAGAATCTTCTCGTGCTGTCTCCCTCTGTCTATCTTTCCCCAAATCTGTCCGGTGGTCACAACATTTTCTATTTTTCCTCTTCTTATATGATGAACACAAAAATGATGTCTCTTTCTGATGTTTGTGATAAGTTGCCTTCATTCACCTACCTCTTTCAAAACATCTGGGTTACTCTTCTTAGCTGTCCAAGAAATATAAATAACCTGCCTTGTCTCTAATTATACATTCAAGCACTATTCTTTTCTTGGAAATCACCATATCAGAAAGAAAGGGTTCAACCGTTCATAACCAGATAGATAAAAGTGATTATTACCTTTGTCAACAGCTCCGAAGAATGCAACCGTATTACTCCCACTGCGGACATTAACAACAATCGGAGATCTGGACAGTTCAAGTGCCTTCTTTACAGCTTTAGTCTCTAGCTGTTCTTGTATTTTCTCATACCCTTCGGTGTCTGCAGAGTTTAAATGCAATGTTCAACAATTAACAAACATGTGAAAGGAAACTAAAGCAAGCCCCAAAATGCACCTAGAGATGAGGATTAGGGACTTTTCTTCATCTTCTTCTTTTCTCTACTCCTGGAATGCCTCACAGCATCAGGGCAGGAAGAGATCTCTGTATAAAGTACTTTTCAGTGTCTCTGATATTTCTGCGATCCATCTTCTGCGCGGTCCATATTGTGCATGGTCGACCACTGGCTCTGTTACCGTTGAATCTGTATAATACTGCTCTCTGTGGTGCCCTGTCTGATAAGAATCATGTTACATGGCCAAACCATTTGATTTGTTGTCTACCTCTAAAGTTCAGTATTGGTTCTGTGCCGACTCTTCTCCTGATGTCATCATTTCTAAGTTGATCTTTCTTCGTTACACCTAGCATAGTAAGTAAATATTTCATTTCTGTCGTGACTTTTTTCCTTCTGTCTTCTGAAGTGAGCACACTGGAGAGGATACGGAGACAGCAGCATCAGAGGAAAAATGTTAAGAAGACTTGGTGCGAGCTGGGTGAGGGTCTATGCTCTAAATGGAGGCCTAACACCGAATGAATGAACAAACATAATTATCAAAGGGTCACAAATTAGGCACGCAGGTCCGTCTTACATCCAGCCCCGCCAAACACTCATCTTTTAGACTGCAATTGTATTTTTCAATAAAGCTTGTTATGTTTATTTAACAATGTACATGACAGCACCGATGGTACACATACACTGACTCACACACATGTACGCACGCACACACAAAATCATATACACATACATACACACACAGATAAGTACACTAATACACACACTCATATGCTCATACATATATATATATACACATACATAAGATAACTCATACATACACACATATGCATCAAAAGACATAACATACACGAATCACTGCAACCTGCAAGAGACTGAGAATCTCTCCTGGGGGGCCAAGGAAGGCAACATTTTACAAAGGACTTACTATCTTCTTTTTCTTCTTCTTCTATGTTTCCCACTTAAAAGGGCAAATGTGGTATGTTGTATCGTGTTTTACAGTTAGGATGTAATAATGCATCTTTCAGCTCAACATATCTGACTACAGCAAACAGAAACAGCTAACCTTTCACAAAAGGATTGTTGTGGGAGGGAAAGGGGGGGGGGGGGGGGGGGGGGTGTAGTGGATCCGTAAAACTGTCACTGTCTGTTCAATCACTTTATAGGTGTTGTAGACAAGGGTGGGGGAGGGGGGGGGGGTGTAGTGGGTCCGTAAACTGTCACTGTCTGTTCAATCACTTTATAGGTGTTGTAGACAGGGGTTGGGGGGGGGGGGGGGGGGTCCGTAAACAATCACTGTCTGTTCAATCACTTTATAGGTGTTGTAGACAGGGGTGGGGGGGGGGGGGGTGTGGTGGGTCCGTAAACTGTCACTGTCTGTTCAATCACTTTATAGGTGTTGTAGACAGGGGTGGGGGGGGGGGGGTGTGTGTGTGTGGTGGGTCCGTAAACTGTCACTGTCTGTTCAATCACTTTATAGGTGTTGTAGACAAGAGTGGGGGGGGGGGGGAGGGTGTCGGGAGACTGAGGATTTAGGGTCACATTGCTAGTGCAGTCAACAAGGACTGTACAAGTTAGGATGTTTAATTTTGACACCGACAAAAAAACTCCATCACCTTACCAGAGATTGAACCAGGGTGTCCCGCAAGGGTCCGATGTTGTAAGCACTTGGCCAGTTGCTCCTTGCAGTGGGTCCATTTTCTCCAAAAATGGGACCCCAGAACCCACAAAGGGGCAACCTACTTATTAAAAAATATGATATTCACCATAAAAGTTTGTATCCAAGTCCACATTTCGAGTATTGTTATGTCCGCTGCCTTCATCACAAACACCCAACCTGGCAAGTCTAGCTCCGTCCACATTGACTGCTGGAATGATGTAGATATGCATCTTCTCTAGGACCTAAAAATACAAAAGACATATAAAAACTGAAGAACATAATCAGGTAATCAATTTACAACATATCAATAGTTGCACACACAATTAATCGCAAAAGGCACCACTAATTCTGGCAACAAGCCACTCACCATTTTCTAAATCTTCAGTTTGCAATATAAACAACGTCTGGCATAGTCAAAAAGCATTCCAAATGAAATGCAGAGATCACAGTGTCGCACTTTACACTAAACTGACTCAGTAGCTGGGTGATGGAAATATGTCCTACTTAACATAAAGAGGAAAATGAAACAGCTAACTACTGTCACAAGCAAAAACTTGCCATGACTAAAAAGAACAGTAAACCTGCACATCTGATATATTGACCTGTAATGAATGACCTGTTCCACTCAGCTGAGAACTGATGGTGTCTAGTCTATCAGAAGAGCACCTCTCTCAGTTTCAAAGACTTTCATGTGGGATCCAGCCTAGGATCTCTCCCCCCTTTTCAACCCTTTGTTTGATCTCCGGTGTGTGTTGATAAAGGCTTCTGTCATAAAGTCCTGATTGTTTGTTATGTGTGTGTGTGTGTGTGTGTGTGTGTATGTGTGTGTGTGTATGTGTGTGTCTATATCGTTCCTGTCCTTATGTTTTCCACTCTTAGTACAAAAATATATCCAAAATCCCACACTGCACCACTCCTGTCCTTGAGCTCTCAAACAACATAATCCATACCTCACCTCAACCCACCTCTCTCAGATGAAACTCATGCAGGTAAACCTCACATTAACCTACCTCTTTCAGGTGTAACTCATGCAGGTAAACTTCACCTCAACCCACCTCTCTCAGATGAAACTCATGCAGGTAAACCTCACATTAACCTACCTCTCTCAGGTGAAACTCATGCAGGTAAACCTCACATTAACCTACCTCTTTCAGGTGTAACTCATGCAGGTAAACTTCACCTCAACCCACCTCTCTCAGATGAAACTCATTCAGGTAAACCTCACCTCAACCCACCTCTCTTAGGTGTAACTCATGCAGGTAAACCTCACATTAACCTACCTCTTTCAGGTGTAACTCATGCAGGTAAACTTCACCTCAACCCACCTCTCTCAGATGAAACTCATTCAGGTAAACCTCACCTCAACCCACCTCTCTTAGGTGTAACTCATGCAGGTAAACCTCACATTAACCTACCTCTTTCAGGTGTAACTCATGCAGGTAAACTTCACCTCAACCCACCTCTCTTAGGTGTAACTCATGCAGGTAAACCTCACATTAACCTACCTCTTTCAGGTGTAACTCATGCAGGTAAACTTCACCTCAACCCACCTCTCTTAGGTGTAACTCATGCAGATAAACCTCACATTAACCTACCTCTTTCAGGTGTAACTCATGCAGGTAAACTTCACCTCAACCCACCTCTCTTAGGTGTAACTCATGCAGGTAAACCTCACATTAACCTACCTCTTTCAGGTGTAACTCATGCAGGTAAACTTCACCTCAACCCACCTCTCTTAGGTGTAACTCATGCAGGTAAACCTCACATTAACCTACCTCTTTCAGGTGTAACTCATGCAGGTAAACTTCACCTCAACCCACCTCTCTTAGGTGTAACTCATGCAGGTAAACCTCACATTAACCTACCTCTTTCAGGTGTAACTCATGCAGGTAAACTTCACCTCAACCCACCTCTCTTAGGTGTAACTCATGCAGATAAACCTCACATTAACCTACCTCTTTTGGGTAGATACTGCGCTGGTAAACATCACACAGGTGCACAATCAGCTGCAGCAGAATTTCCCGTGAGGTCATCTCCTCTCCAAGGACATTGCCCACAAACATGATCCTGGGAGGCACATGCCTTGTTTCATTCCGCCCAAAATGCATCATCCAAATATCTGAGGACAGTGCGGTCTTACCCAAGCTGCAGGGAAACAACAATGGTAACAAGCATGAGACGGCCATTTTTGGTCTCAATATTCTTTACTTAACAATTCTATAAATACAATGAGTTGCCCTGGCATAGCCGCTAGATGCTCCCCTGCGGATCAGAAGGTAATGGGTTTGCTCCCTGGCCAAGCCAGACTTTTTTTATTTGGCTCCCAGGTCGACCCAGCCTTTAGTGGGTACCAGGTTCAGTCCTGGGAAGTAAAGGCAGCAGGCGAGATAATGACCACATCACGCATCTTTTGCTGTTGGTCTATAAAATATCGGTCCAGCCCTATATACCCAATACCCCTGAAAGGCGTGGAAAAGGTCCTTTACTTGATACATACAATGGATGATTGGTTCGAGATCCAGGTTAAATTCAGTAAGGGATGGAAATATTTTCTGTCAGGCAAAAACAAAAATCCCAATCTGTAGTTTACAGCAAATACTTAGGCTCACAGTCTAATTGTTATTTTTAAGTAAACATATGAATTTCTTGACCTCCATGTGATGTGCAGGTGCAAACACAGCCAACAGTATTAGCTATGTATCTCATAAACATATGATGTGCAGGTGCAAACACAGCCAACAGTATTAGCTATGTATCTCATAAACATGTGATGTGCAGGTGCAAACACAGCCAACAGTATTAGCTATGTATCTCATAAACATGTGATGTGCAGGTGCAAACACAGCCAACAGTATTAGCTATGTATCTCATAAACATGTGATGTGCAGGTGCAAACACAGCCAACAGTATTAGCTATGTATCTCATAAACATGTGATGTGCAGGTGCAAACACAGCCAACAGTATTAGCTATGTATCTCATAAACATGGCAATCTAGACAGGTCAGTTAATAATGGGGAACTCGACTGATATGGATATACTGTCCGGGATATGCAGGAGTGCAGGGAAATGAAAGGGCAGATTTTCTGGCTTTAAAAAAATGAATGCTGAAAGGAGACACTAGGTCACACAAATACAATATCTGTAAAAATGTGTGAATGAGGAATTATGAGTGGATCTGGCAAGAAAGGATGTATGAGAAGAAGAAAAGAATTATGAGTGGATCTAGCAAGAAAGGATGTATGAGAAGAAGAAGAGAATTACGAGTTTATAATTAGTGTTCTACAGGAACAGTTAGCAGCTACACCTCAAGACACTTGCTGCAGGAGACGGAGCACCTATGGGTATGCCCGGTGTGTTACGATGTTGATTCTTAAATAATTTAATCGAGACCAAGCTAGAAGCCTTGATTAAGGGGCTTCTACAGACGACAGGATGAAGGCATATGCTCAACAGAATGAACTGAGAATACTAATACTGTGATCTGTGGAGACACTAATACTGTGATCTGTGGAGACACTAATACTGTGATCTGTGGAGACACTAATACTGTCATCTGTGGAGACACTAATACTGTGATCTGTGGAGACACTAATACTGTGATCTGTGGAAACACTAATACTGTGATCTGTGGAGACACTAATACTGTGATCTGTGGAGACACTAATACTGTGTGTGATCTGTGGAGACACTAATACTGTGATCTGTGGAGACACTAATACTGTCATCTGTGGAGACACTAATACTGTGATCTGTGGAGACACTAATACTGTGATCTGTGGAGACACTAATACTGTCATCTGTGGAGACACTAATACTGTGATCTGTGGAGACACTAATACTGTGATCTGTGGAGACACTAATACTGTGATCTGTGGAGACACTAATACTGTCATCTGTGGAGACACTAATACTGTGATCTGTGGAGACACTAATACTGTGATCTGTGGAGACAGTGAACACCTAGGCTATATGAGATGGTACACGATGATGATAAATGGAAGCGACTATAACCCACAAACAAAAATACCTGGTCATCTTCACAATGTTCGGACATAAGAGAGAAACATTCTTCAGCAGACGGGTCATCTGGTCATAATCGTGATACTCCAGGACCTTGTGGTCTTGTTTGAGGACAAAGTCCTGGACACTAGCAGAGTTCTCCTTCACCTCAATGGATAAAGTCAGTCTTGTATATCCTGAACACAGACATACTTGCACATTAGCGGTATTTTTCTGTGTTAATAAAAATTACAGATACTGCCTATCACTATGCCAGGTGAAAAGTCAAAGAAACAGCCAAATCCAGCAGCTGGCGCACACATTAAATTTGTAAGGCATCTGTCAGATGTGCCTACACCAACAAAGTGTCACCAGAACTGTGGTTCATCATTGATGGAAGCAGCAGTGGAGACAACCCTGCATACTGCATTACTAATTAGGTATTGCGCAAGTTGCGTGGCAACCAGCTACCTGCCATTTTCTGAACGTGGAGTTCACATCACTAATCACAAGAAGCACAAATGAAAACCCATAAGAAACACCCAAACTCACAGTGATGCACCATGCACTGTCAGTAGCTGGCAGACAGAATCAGATTTTAAATTTACTTAATTTATCCAGTTTTGACATAAAGGTAGTAAAAATGAAGTTAATCAAGTTAATTTTACATGAGAATATTTTTTATGAGAAAAACTGGAGTAAATCATAATGGTGGGAAAGGTGGAGTGGAAATTGGCAGAGAGAGAGAGAGAGAGATAGAGGGGGGAGATAGAGAAAGAGAGAGAAAGGCAGAGAGAGACAGAGATAGAGAGAGACAGAGATAGAGAGAGACAGAGAATGCTGGACAGTATGACATGATTGCATAGTATATCATCTTTGTCAGAGTTGACTGAAAGTACATGAGACAGAAGGTTGTGGATATATGTGACTACTTATGCCACACGGCATGCACTATAAGAAGAAAAATCAGCATGGAGGGAATAAGTTTTGTGGCCTGCAATGACCCCAAGTGTACAGCTCTCCCTCCAACTGACCTGCAGCTTCTACGGTAACTGTGTGTTTCCCATGTGTAGCCAGCACAAAGAAAGGTGATGTCATTTCCTGCAAAGGTTTCTTGTCCACCTGCAAGGTGTAACTCTCAATGATTCCCCCTGTCTCATTTTCCACCTGTCCCTGGATGCCTGAATTTAGATAAAAGGGAGATAATGTAAATAATCAGTCATAATTCAAAACAATGTTTTCCCGTAACAAATTTAAATAACATGGACACAAACAAAACATTGCACACTTTATTGCCAGGCAAATTTGGCTGTATCTCGTCAGGTGCATTACTACAGAGTTACATCAACATAAAATCAAGCATAATGAACTGAATAAATCCAACTGAAATGCAAATGGTTTCTTCCGATGCATCACGTTTGCCCAGTCACCGGAAGTTCACTGTAGTCACGTGACTTACCAGGGTAACTTCATATTTAAAATAAATTCTGTCCTCAGTTTTTGTGTGCTTTATTTATTGTTGACGTAACTCTATAGTAGTGCACCTGGCGAGATACAGCAACAAATTGTGCAATGTGTTTTAAAATAAAAGATAAGATGCTGTGAGATGATATGGCAGCTGACAAAACAAGGATGCAGATGGAGCAATACTAAAGAAATTATCACCATCATGTGTTATGTCAGTAAGCAGATGTTATTTTGGTTTGACATCTCACATGACAAGGAACACAAGAACTTAGGAACACGGGAGTTTAGAAACATGGGAGCTAAGAAACATGGAAGTTTAGGAACATGGGAGCTAAGAAACATGGAAGTTTAGAAACATGGGAGCTAAGAAACATGGAAGTTTAGGAACATGAGAATTTAGAAATGTGTGAGCTTAGAAATATGGTAGCTTATGAACATGGGAGTTAAGAAACATCAGAGGTCAGGTACCATGATTCCTCCAAAACAGTTTTAAGACTTCAGCACATTCTCAATCAGCCTGCTTTTATGTCATAATCTGTTACAGAGGCAGGGGGTCTTCTTTTTTCTTCCCCCAAGATGGGAGCTGGAAGTCCATTTGAGAAAGATGACAACTTATAACTTTAACAAGAAGTTAGTAACACATAACTAACCATAACTTTGACAAGAAGTTAGTAACACATAACTAACCATAACTTTCACAAGAAGTTAGTAACACATAACTAACCATAACTTTGACAAGAAGTTAGAAACACATAACTAACCATAACTTTGACAAGAAGTTAGTAACACATAACTAACCATAACTTTGACAAGAAGTTAGTAACACATAACTAACCATAACTTTGACAAGAAGTTAGAAACACATAACTAACCATAACTTTAACAAGAAGTTAGAAACACATAACTAACCATAACTTTAACAAGAAGTTAGAAACACATAACTAACCATAACTTTAACAAGAAGTTAGAAACACATAACTAACCATAACTTTGACAAGAAGTTAGAAACACATAACTAACCATAACTTTAACAAGAAGTTAGAAACACATAACTAACCATAACTTTAACAAGAAGTTAGAAACACATAACTAACCATAACTTTGACAAGACGTTAGAAACACATAACTAACCATAACTTTAACAAGAAGTTAGTAACACATAACAAACCTTAACACCTAAGCAATAACAAACCATACTGACCTTGACGAGACCTGGTCAATATATTGAGAAAGGAATGCAGAGACAACATCCAGACGTGAGGCAACTCTGCGGGAGGAGGGAACTTGCAGCAAGCAATAAATGTACTCATCTGCAGGACATAAATCACAATGAAAAGAAATTACAGACATTGTTTTTGTCTTTTGGCTGAACCATTGGTAACTTTCTAACCATTCAAGACCCTAATGTAATTGTGTTTTGCAGCTGAACAAGGGTCCCAGGGTTTGCTTCATATGCATAGTCATCAGAATAGTTGCTCTTTGATTCAATGCGTATTAATCTTTCAGAAAACAATTATGGAAGATCAAAATTTAAAAACAAAATGAACCCAAAATAAAAATACAGTGCAGAAAAAAAAAAATTTTGTGTTTCATTGAAAATTATAGCCAAATGTATCTTATGGGTTGTGAATGCAGTTTAACAATCCTGACATATAAGAGATAAAAGTCAGTGGCAGGCAATTTAGTAGCAGACACTTTGCGTAGATTCTAGCAAGGGTACGAGTGCCCTACGTTTACGAGGCAGTGGCAATCTACTGAATGGAAAACTGCCTAGTAAAACCAAACAGCAGCCGATAAATGCTGGGGCGGGTTTATGATCTCCTCAAAAAGAAATGTACAACCAAGTATATTCAAATTCAAATTATTGATACCTGCTCCTCGACTTATGAGTTATGCAGCCTGCAACCACCCGTACACTTTCAAACAACAACAGCAAAACAAAAAAGATTACACCCGGTAGGGTAAAAATGTCCCCAGAACTGATGCCTAGAGGGCAGCAGGGTCTAGAAATCAGTCATTATCACGTATGACAGACTGGAACTTTACCACATATGACAAACTTTACCACATATGACAGACTTTACCATGTATGACAGACTGGAACTGCAATCTGTATGAAAATAGTGTTGAACAAACATAAATTCTATTTACAATCACTTCAACCTACATGTTAGGCAGAACAGAACTCTGTCATGAGTCGTTTAAACTTGATAACAGTAAAACAGGAGCAGATGGACAAGCAGTCGGAACACTAGGCTCTTATGTCAGAGACCTGGGATGAAATCATCTGTAAGGTGATGGAAGTTTTCTTCTGCTGCGGGCAAACAGAAACATCCTCCCACAGTTCATGGTGACGGCATTAAATCCTCCGACTCAAGAAAATTTGTTCAATACCACCTCAAAAGTGGTGGCTCTTCTTCTTCTACATCGTTTGCTAAGTGACATAATTTGTTGTTGTGCCTGCTTACAGAACAGTTACCATATTTGCAACCTTTTGGCCAATGCATCTGACCGTCTGAGATTTGTTGGTCTTCCCGGTACAATGCTAAATGTTGAATTAAGAATCAACATCACAGCAGGACCTGGAAGAAATATCCAAAGGAGGCTAACTACACTGAAGCGATGCTTGCCACTCTGCATGGAGCTTGCCTGTCTCCACCTTTCTCAACATGCTTTGTGAGTCAGTTACAATTACAGTTACAAAAATCCTGGTACACGTGGAACTACAGGCGGTGAAGGTATATAAAATCAAAAACGACACAGACGTCGACGTGTCCTACCATTAAAGTGTGATACTGGTAATACCAGGGGTCAGTCACTTCCAGGGCCTCACTGCCCAGCTCGACCCCATGGACCACCCCGGAGAAAGGAGAAACTGGACAGGCACCTTTCATGTATATGTCACTCATTGCTGCGGCAAAGGAAGCCGACAGATCCTGCAAGACATCCTCGTCATCTGTCAGCTCCGACGCATCACTGGCTCGGCTGCTTATGGACACGCTTCGTGGAATACTGAAAAAGAAAGCAACAACAGCATAAAGTTAAAATCATGGTAACAATGGTTTATAATGAAAAGCAATAAATTCAGGTTATTTTACACTGTCGTGGTTTTGTCATCTCACTGATACCAGGCTGTAGCACTGTGTCATGGTTTTGTCATCTCACTGATACCAGGCTGTGGCCCTGTGTCATGGTTTTATCGTCTCACTGATACCAGGCTGTAGTCCTGTTTCATGGTTTTGTCGTCTCACTGATACCAGGTTGTAGCCCTGTGTTGTGGTTTTGTCGTCTCACTGATACCAGGTTGTAGCCCTATTTCATGGTTTTGTCGTCTCACTGATACCAGGCTGTGGCCCTGTGTCATGGTTTTGTCATCTCACTGATACCAGGCTGTAGCCCTATTTCATGGTTTTGTCGTCTCACTGATACCAGGCTGTAGCCCTGTGTCATGGTTTTGTCGTCTCACTGATACCAGGTTGTAGCCCTATTTCATGGTTTTGTCGTCTCACTGATACCAGGCTGTGGCCCTGTGTCATGGTTTTGTCATCTCACTGATACCAGGCTGTAGCCCTATTTCATGGTTTTGTCGTCTCACTGATACCAGGCTGTAGCCCTGTGTCATGGTTTTGTCGTCTCACTGATACCAGGTTGTAGCCCTGTGTCATGGTTTTGTCGTCTCACTGATACCAGGCTGTAGCCCTATTTCATGGTTTTGTCGTCTCACTGATACCAGGCTGTAGCCCTGTGTCATGGTTTTGTCGTCTCACTGATACCAGGCTGTGGCCCTGTGTCATGGTTTTGTCGTCTCACTGATACCAGGTTGTAGCCCTATTTCATGGTTTTGTCGTCTCACTGATACCAGGCTGTGGCCCTGTGTCATGGTTTTGTCATCTCACTGATACCAGGCTGTAGCCCTATTTCATGGTTTTGTCGTCTCACTGATACCAGGCTGTAGCCCTGTGCCATGGTTTTGTCATCTCACTGATACCAGGCTGTAGCCCTATTTCATGGTTTTGTCGTCTCACTGATACCAGGCTGTAGCCCTATTTCATGGTTTTGTCGTCTCACTGATACCAGGCTGTAGCCCTATTTCATGGTTTTGTCGTCTCACTGATACCAGGCTGTAGCCCTGTGCCATGGTTTTGTCATCTCACTGATACCAGGCTGTAGCCCTATTTCATGGTTTTGTCGTCTCACTGATACCAGGCTGTAGCCCTGTGCCATGGTTTTGTCGTCTCACTGATACCAGGCTGTAGCCCTGTGCCATGGTTTTGTCGACTCACTGATACCAGGCTGTAGCCCTGTGCCATGGTTTTGTCGTCTCACTGATACCAGGCTGTAGCCCTGTGCCATGGTTTTGTCGTCTCACTGATACCAGGCTGTAGCCCTGTGCCATGGTTTTGTCGTCTCACTGATATCAGGCTGTAGCCCAGTGTCTTGTTTTTTTTCTTCTCTGTATTTCTCTTGTGCCTCTCCTGCGATCTCCCTGATACCAGGTTGTAGCCCAGTGTCATGGTTTTGTCGTCTCACTGATACCAGGCTGTAGCCCTGTGCCATGGTTTTGTCGTCTCACTGATACCAGGCTGTAGCCCTGTGCCATGGTTTTGTCGTCTCACTGATACCAGGCTGTAGCCCTGTGCCATGGTTTTGTCGTCTCACTGATACCAGGCTGTAGCCCTGTGCCATGGTTTTGTCGTCTCACTGATACCAGGCTGTAGCCCTGTGCCATGGTTTTGTCGTCTCACTGATACCAGGCTGTAGCCCTGTGCCATGGTTTTGTCGTCTCACTGATACCAGGCTGTAGCCCTGTGCCATGGTTTTGTCGTCTCACTGATATCAGGCTGTAGCCCAGTGTCTTGTTTTTTTTCTTCTCTGTATTTCTCTTGTGCCTCTCCTGCGATCTCCCTGATACCAGGTTGTAGTCCATTGTCATGGTTTTCTGTATTTGTCTTGTGCTTCTCGGGTGGCTGGGGTGATAATTGTGTTTATCTTTTTGTCAGGTTTCAGTTACACCATTTATCCATCTCTGTCTGGCCTTCCTCCCAGATGTCCTCCTGTCAAAAGTCTCACATGCAGTTTGGTCTGTCTGTATTCTCACTAGATGGCCAACCCATACAATTCTGTATCTGTCAATATAATCCAGACATGGTCTCATTCCAACTATCACTCTCTAATGCTGGTATTCGTACATCTGTCCCTTCTTGTGGTGTTATTGATCTTGTGAAGACAGAGCATTTCACATATTATGTGTTATTTTCTATTGTAGTTTCCTATTCATTGTCCCTGGCTTAAAATGGGTCCTTTATTTGTATTTTTCTTATTACTGGCATTGAGATAGGATGCTTTTTTAAATAAATGGCAGGTGGTTGGTTTGCAATGGAACTTGCTGAGGGCCTTATACAATATTGCATGTGCAACTACTAGTTTGTTTACACAGCTGCTTCCATCAACAATGAATGACAAAGTGATAGACTGGTGCTGGCACCTCTGGTGGCTGTCACATGTATTTATTGTGGTGCACGGAGCTGGATTTTGCCAGGACCGATCTGTTTCCCGAGTTTTCAAATGTGACAGTAATAGATATTTTGTGTGAGTTTTACTGACATAGGAAAGGAGCAATTATGAGGTGATCCAGTTGACATGATTAAAAGTGGGAACAACAACTAACTGAGTAACTAACAAAAGAAGACACCAGCAGAAAAATGGTGACAGTGTAAAAGAAGAGAATGAGTACATGAACTGATACGTTGTGTTAGAAATCACGAACCAGAGAGGATTATGCCAGTTGGTGAGGTACCTGGCGATGATCCCCATAATAAATATTTTCTTTAAAATATACAACAACAAAGCTTATTCTACTTATCTGTTAGCAAGAGAAGACTATCACATTGTTATACCAAGAAATGTATCATGGAAAACAACAGTTGTCAAAAAGAGGATGGCTATAGCAATACTAGTCTATGGTTAAGCATCAGTAAGGGAATCGAAGTTGTGGACTATCCCAACTTTCTAAGGATTGATATATGGGGCTTTTGAGCTGAAATGCTCTTGGAAGATTCTGTATCCGAGTTGTTCCCCTTGTGGGATGCAATTTTTTGTTTATTTGAAGCCCCACCCTGGCTTACGCCGTGGGCCCTGAATATAGCTAGGCCACATATGTTGCAAAACTGGCTGAAAGGGGTTTCTGGGACCTCTCCACGGGTGATCCTCTTCCGCATGGTGGTACTTTATGACACCGGGTGTTTATCGCTCTGTGTGATGTCCTGGTGGGCTACAGCAAGCAAGCAATTAGGAAGATTCTCTGAATACCATGGACAAAGAAAAAAACAAATACTAACAATCTAAATGACCAGAACATCAAGGAAAATTGGCTAATAGACAGCACCTTGTCTTGGAAGCTAAAATATTTTGACTATATCAAGAGTCATGGCGGACTGGGAGAAAATAATAGCAGATGGCATGGTACAGGAAGGAGGGGCAGAGGCCGACCAACACAAAGATGGGCATAGGATACAGGTGACCCCTTGAAAATGAAAGTGCACGAAGCGATAGAGCTTGCGAAAGACCAAGTTTCTTTCAGGCAGACTGTGATGAAAGCAACATTCTGTAAAGGACCTGCCACATGATGATGATGACTTATCTGTTATGTTTTCATGATCGAGTCACTATACAATGGGCAGTCTGATGTATACTCAGTCCTTCGTAGCAGCAGGCATCCCAAGGTACCCCTATAATGTTCCCTTATCAGAATAAAAATAACCTCTTCTATGGTGACCTCAAATACAGCAAAGACGTCCTCTGCTAGGTTTTTTTACTCATGTGGTTCTGTTAGGACCAGAGACTCGTCATTATCCACCAGCCCATTTCACACAACATTGATTAATTCAACGCTGTCCTTGTGTGTCTGTCCACTTATGTAAATGTATTACTTGCCAGCTGGTCTGCTCATTCCTTTCCCCTCACATTAGCATCCCCAAGGAGTGGAAGAAGTTAAAAGAGTTACCTTCCATTCAGAAGGACACCTACTTCTATGGTTTTCTAAAGCATTGTCATGTCAGTCTTCTGCTTCTTTTTCTTTTTCGTCTGCTTTGTCTTCTCTGCATTAATCCTTAACTCTTCATGTTTCAATGAATGAACTATGCTTTTACATCTTCTGTTTAGATGAGGGACTTGAAAGAAGACAGAAAACATGGCTGTTTCCTGCACGGGTGGTATATTTGGTCCCTCTGGAGGTTGTATAACTGTGAGTTTTGTCTTGCCAAACCTAATTCTCCCGGTCATTAGCTAAGACCTTCTAGGACTGGCAGACTCAAAAAAGCAGTTGGTACTCTGTGTTGTGGTTTACAGCTAGGCTGCAATATTTCTGCTTAAACCTCAGATTTCAGCAAACCATAATTAGTCGCCCATTACAACATGCTAGGAGAGCACAGAATTTATTTGTTCTACATCCACAGAATGGGACCCCAGAACCCACACAGGGAACACCCTAAGTGGGGCTCCTTATCGTCCATGCAGGTCACGAAACACAGAGATCCCACAGCCAAATATTACTTACACAATGAACTTTCCTCCGCCTTCGACGTCAACTATGAGGTCAAACTTGTGCTGGCTAACTAAATCACTCAGGGCTGAAACTGTTACATCCTGAAATAATAAGCTACTGTTAATGTAACATTTATTCAAATCAGTCTTCTCCTCCCTCTTCTTCTGCACTCATCAATTAAATCACTCAAGACAGAAATATTTTTAACCTCAGGTGGAAGAATGGATCGAGAAATCAACATACGATGTGAGAAAGCAAATCGTTATGGGACAATTAACACCGCTTCTCACTCATAGAAAGATAACTCTGTCAACCAAAGCAAATTTCATAAGAACGGGGTTTTATTGCCGACATTGTGCTACCGGTGCCCAAAATGGACCCTTACTACAACTAATGAGTGGAAGTAAGTAACAACAGAGATAAGCTGTCTTAGGAGAGTTGTTGGTGACAAGAAGAGATAAAATCAGAAATTAGAAAATTAGAAATTAGAAGACTAGGATCGAAACCAGTCATACAATTCATTAAAGAACAAATGAGATGGTTTGGCCACCTGATGAGAATGCCCTGGTACCAACTGCCACAGAGAGCCATGCTGAAGAAATATAATGAAAACAGAGCAAGGGGAAGACCACGCAAGATATTGAGCGACTTCATCAGGAGCAGGCTATGAGAAATGAATATCAGCTTTTATAATGCGTTGGAAAAAGCGCACAAACAATCCTTACATCTCTTCCCCAACATCTCGCTGAGGTGAATGGTGGAAGAGAAGAAGGAGAAAGAAGAAGATTGAAACCGTACATCCTGAAAAAAATATGCCAATGTTAATGTTAAACTGTTTGTAAAGGAGCTTGGCTTCCAAACTGACCCGGCCTAAAATGTCCTGGGAAGTAAAGGCAACCAGCATGATGCTGATGATTATGTCACCCTTCAAATTCTGATTGGCTTATAAAACATGAGACTGGCATCACAGGCCTGATGGACTGCTTCTGTAAACAGGGTTCTTGACTTCTATTTTTTCCATTACACATTGGATTACATTACTCAGCAATGAATCTGTCCCCCAAAATGTAGCTCTTAACCCCTTCACCCTGGTGACCTACAGCCAATTGGGGATGAGCTGGTTGGGGAGAAGTAGGATGTGTCTGGCTGTAGGCACTATACAGTAGCTGGTTGGGAAGAAGTAGGCTGTGTCTGGCTGTAGGCACTATACAGTAGCTGGTTGGGAAGAAGTAGGCTGTGTCTGACTGTTAGCACTATACAGTAGCTGGTTGGGAAGAAGTAGGCTGTGTCTGGCTGTTAGCACTATACAGTAGCTGGTTGGGAAGAAGTAGGCTGTGTCTGGCTGTAGGCACTATACAGTAGCTGGTTGGGAAGAAGTAGGCTGTGTCTGACTGTTAGCACTATACAGTAGCTGGTTGGGAAGAAGTAGGCTGTGTCTGGCTGTTAGCACTATACAGTAGCTGGTTGGGAAGAAGTAGGCTGTGTCTGGCTGTAGGCACTATACAGTAGCTGGTTGGGAAGAAGTAGGCTGTGTCTGGCTGTAGGCACTATACAGTAGCTGGTTGGGAAGAAGTAGGCTGTGTCTGACTGTTAGCACTATACAGTAGCTGGTTGGGAAGAAGTAGGCTGTGTCTGGCTGTTAGCACTATACAGTAGCTGGTTGGGAAGAAGTAGGCTGTGTCTGGCTGTAGGCACTATACAGTAGCTGGTTGGGAAGAAGTAGGCTGTGTCTGGCTGTAGGCACTATACAGTAGCTGGTTGGGAAGAAGTAGGCTGTGTCTGGCTGTTAGCACTATACAGTAGCTGGTTGGGAAGAAGTAGGCTGTGTCTGGCTGTAGGCACTATACAGTAGCTGGTTGGGAAGAAGTAGGCTGTGTCTGACTGTTAGCACTATACAGTAGCTGGTTGGGAAGAAGTAGGCTGTGTCTGGCTGTAGGCACTATACAGTAGCTGGTTGGGAAGAAGTAGGCTGTGTCTGACTGTTAGCACTATACAGTAGCTGGTTGGGAAGAAGTAGGCTGTGTCTGACTGTTAGCACTATACAGTAGCTGGTTGGGAAGAAGTAGGCTGTGTCTGGCTGTAGGCACTATACAGTAGCTGGTTAGGAAGAAGTAGGCTGTGTCTGGCTGTTAGCACTATACAGTAGCTGGTTGGGAAGAAGTAGGCTGTGTCTGGCTGTAGGCACTATACAGTAGCTGGTTGGGAAGAAGTAGGCTGTGTCTGGCTGTAGGCACTATACAGTAGCTGGTTGGGAAGAAGTAGGCTGTGTCTGACTGTTAGCACTATACAGTAGCTGGTTGGGAAGAAGTAGGCTGTGTCTGGCTGTAGGCACTATACAGTAGCTGGTTAGGAAGAAGTAGGCTGTGTCTGGCTGTAGGCACTATATAGTTGCTGGTTGGAAAGAAGTAGGCTGTGTCTGGCTGTAGGCACTATACAGTAGCTGGTTAGGAAGAAGTAGGCTGTGTCTGGCTGTAGGCACTATATAGTTGCTGGTTGGGGTTTAGCCTGATTCCTTGTTCCTACTCTGTACACATTCAAAGCAGCGACAGCAGTCTAAAATATTTCTATTGTCACTGTTTGTCTTCTTCATCTTAAACAAATAACAATGTTCTAGATGCCACACTGATAGTAACTGTGATAAAGACTGTATCTTACTGCATGTCCTTTCCATATATCTAGCCAATTTAGCTGGGTAGTCATGTCTATCTACAATCTTCTGTCTCATGTACTTTTATCAGCTCTGACACAGATGATCTTCCATGCCATGATGTTAAACTGTCCAGCATCTTTTCTCTCGGTCTCCATCTGCTTCTCCAACTTTCCTACTGTCACGATGTACTCCAGTTGTCTCCTCATGGCATGATCAACCTTGTCTGCAGTAAATGAACGCAATTAGGTCCTCGAACAAACCAAGAAGAATTGAAAACAATTATTAATTCCATCAACAATTGCAAATACTTCTGACTGCAAAACTGACCTCATGCCTGACCAGCGTGTTGAACTTTGACCCTGCATACATCAGTCCCGTACAATCGCCAGGAACAGCAGCTGCAGCTCCGTGTATGTTAAACTGGGGTAGTATGTGTACGTGCACCGTGCTGAGTATTGCTGCTGTAACTGGTTCTTCATGATTATATCCTGCAAGATATAAATACATACTTATCAGGGAATTATACCTTTTAAGGAATCATACCCCTCAGAGATCTATACCTGTCAGGGAAATATTATACTATCGGAACTGTGGAATTATTATACCAATGAGGGAATTATTATGCAATCAGGGATTTACTACAGCTTTCAGGTACTCATATCCATCAGGGAATTATACTTTTAGGGAATTATTATTTCATATATATGTGTGTGTGTAAACAGAAAGATTATGTGATCAATTTGAAGTTACCATGGTAATCAGGTGACCGGTTGTGAATGTGGACAATGTGGTTTATGCATTTCAGCAACAAAAGGATTTATTTTCTGCTTCGTTATGTGTTGATGTAACTCTGTAGTAACACACTTGACAAGATACAGCCAAATATGCCAGGCAATAAATTGTGCGATGAATTGTTTGTGTCTGCAATACTTTAATTTACAATAGAAAAACATTGTTTTGAATTATTATACCATCAGAGAATTATTATACCATCAGAGAATTATTATACCATCAGAGAATTATTATACCATCAGAGAATTATTATACCATCAGAGAATTATTATACCATCAGAGAATTATTATACCATCAGAGAATTATTATACCATCAGAGAATTATTATACCATCAGAGAATTATTATACCATCAGAGAATTATTATACCATCAGAGAATTATTATACCATCAGAGAATTATTATACCATCAGAGAATTATTATACCATCAGAGAATTATTATACCATCAGAGAATTATTATACCATCAGAGAATTATTATACCATCAGACAATTATTATACCATCAGAGAATTATTATACCATCAGAGAATTATTATACCATCAGACAATTATTATACCATCAGAGAATTATTATAATCAAAGATATGCTTTATTTGAGAAATATACCTATCAGGGAATTATACCTTTAAAGGAATCATCCAGAATAGAGAATTACAATATCAATGAATTATTATACTATTTGGGATTCAGGAAATTATTATACCGATGAGGGAATAATTATACTACCAAAAAAAATGCACAATTATTATAACTATAGGGGAATTATTATACCTATCCAGGAATTATTATACCTACTGAGGAATTCATATACTATCAGGAGTTGAACATAACATACATAATCAGAATATAAAGAAAAAACAAAAGCATACAAAAATTATAAATTAGATAAGCAAATATCATTACAACATCTGTGATATCAGTAGCTTTCAGCACAACACGTAACATTTCAGTGAAACCTTAACCAGTCACAGTGTATCTTTTCTATCCCCTCCCACCCCACAAATATATGAGCAGCAAAAACAACATAAGGAAATACCCATTCAAAAAATATACAATAAAACATCAACATAACAACAAATGTTAAAACTTATAAATTTAACCTGTGATCAAATGACGAGCCAGTCGTACTAGCATCTCTTGACCAACAGGTGAATCTCCGTTCAAATTTCCCACCAACAGCACATGGGGCCTGTCATCTTTATGGACAGTGTTTAGGTTGTTTTTAGCATCTAGATCCTGTAAATAAATTAAACACAATATGGCAAAACTTTTACCAGTACTGAAAAGGCTGGGGAAAAAATGCATCAACTATGAACAGCTTGGTCCATAATTAGGAACAATGGAGACTTCAACAGGAGACAGACGGAGACTAGCTGGTACACCATCATCGTGTAGCAGGTCCTGTGTAGAATGTCGCTCTCATTCTGGTCTGCCTGGCAGAAACTCGGTCTCCCGGCAGCTCTACTGACTCATGTATTTTCACACACAAGCAGTCAGTTATATCATTTGCGCTCTTAGTGTTGGTCTGCCCCTGCTCTCCTTTCTGGTACCATGCCTGCTGCTATTCATTTTTTTTTCCCAATCAGCCTGACACTTGATGTGACCAAAATATTTCAGCTTCTGAGACAAGATGCTGTTTATTTGCCAATCTTTCTTGGTTCTCAATTAACTATTCAACATAAAACACAGCTATATTATATGCCAAAGTGATATAACATGAATGGTAAAGCACAGCTCATGGAAGGAGGAGGAAGAAGGGAAGAGGAAAAATAGGAGAAAGGGAGGGAGGAAGGAAGAAGAGAACAATGAAGAATAAATTTATCTTCTGTCAAACAACTAACCTCTGATAGCCAACATCGTCTTTGAAAACAACTAACACAACATCAGTGATCAACTCACCTTTGACAAGTGTAAGACTGGAATCGACGTGTTTGGCAACATCTCAAATTGTGCAATGCTTGGGTTGGTCCTGGCCAGCTTATCTAAGACTCTGGTGATGTTTTCAGCAGTCAAATATTTGCCTCCTTGCATGTTTTCCTTGATGTCAAAATCATGTTTAGCCGACCAGTCTGCCTCGTTGCCATCCGTAATAAAACTAGGTGTGGTTACATCGCCAGCTGTCATATCCATATCTGACTGTCGCAAGCTTGCAAAAGAAAACAGGGCAAATTATTTTAACTCTTACCACACAAAAGAGCTGGTATGTTTGATGAAATATTTGTCTTTATAATGTAGTAGAAAGTATTAACCCTTTCAACTTGTAAGAATCTTACAAACTGAGCTTTTTCCAGATTTCATTACCCAAACAAATCCTTAAAACTGTCTTAAAATCTGCCCTAAAAAACTACAAGAAAAGAAAACACGCAAAAGAAATCTGAACTCTTGGTCAGGTTTTATAAAAATCCAGAAGATTGAAACCTATGACCACCAAGCAGACAGGCAGGAGTGCTAGTACTTGCATCACTGTCACCCTGTCACTTACTGATGGGATATCTCAACACCCACGGATGTGTCTCGCCTAGTGTGATGATCACATAATTCACAACTCTTCTGTACTTCTTCACCTGTTTGACTTGTTAGTGTGCGGCCTTGTCAATCAAAGTTGTTGACTCAGTCATCACTCGATCTCCCTTCCTCTCTGGGAACATACAGCCAATCAGCTCAGTCCACTGCCCATCCACTTCCAAAATTAGCCCAAAAACAATCTTGTTTTCCTATTACTTCCAAGTACCTTTTCTTCTTTTGCAATATTCAGAGCCTTAGAGGTTCTTTTCTGCAAATTTCACCCACTTTGATTCATCTGTAATCGGCCTTTTCTTTCCAAATGGTGAGTGCAAATTTCTGGCACCAACACGACTGCGTGACATGGGAGTAAAGCATGGTGAAGCACGTCTATGCCACCTTTGAAGTTAAGATAAAAGGCTTTATAACCAGCTTTTCATGCGAACAATCAGTACCTGTGCCTTAAAGTGGTTGCTTCGACAAAGTACTGAGCAAGCATGGGAATGCCCAATGTGCCCAACATTGACTGTAATACCACACAACACTTGTATAATCAGTTCTATCTCTGTTTTCTGTCACCTCTACATGCATCCCCTGGCAAAAAATGGAAATGACGAAAGCTCAGAGACTCCAGCCACTGCTAAAGCAGAATAAGAGAGAGAGAGTAGGATTTGACCACACAGCCAGTGGGCAGGCAGGTAAGTTTGCTAGCCAGTGCGTTATGACAGCCCCTACAAACATAACTTCTTCTCTAGCCCTATTGTACCTTTCAGCGTCAGTTTCGAAGAGGCATCAGGTGCCAGCCTTGGTATTCATGGCTTGCGTGGTTAATTTCTATTTCTGCATTCATTATGTAAGTAACATGTCTCTCGTTGTGAACCATCTTGCTGTAGTCTTGACACACGTCCAAACCATCTGATCTGTTCTTTCTTGATGTAGTTTAGTACTAGTTCCATCCCAGCTTCTTTCCTGACATCGTCATCTCTGATCCAGTCTCTTCTAGTTACATTCAGAATTCATCCTAGATATTTTGTTTCTGTTGTTCCGATTCTTCTTTTGTTGTTATTGTCTACAGAACACTTACAATTAAACAGTGCACATCAACACCACTTACCCAGCACTTCTCTTAGTGAGAGTAAAGTTGACCTGGGAGCCATGTCCACCACGTACAGTGATGCCCTCTTCAACATCTCCGTCATATCTGTACAGATCAGACAGTGAGACAGTCAACATTATATCAGAGCACTTACTTTTCACTTGGAAGAAATTGTTATTTTACAACAGCTGTAAATGTTATTTTACAACAGCTGTAAATGTTATTTTACAACAGCTGTAAATGTTTTTTTCACAACAGCTGTGAATGTTATTTTACAACAGCTGTGAATGTTACTTTACAACAGCTGTAAACGTTATTTTACAACAGCTGTAAATGTTATTTTACAACAGCTGTAAATGTTATTTTACAACAGCTGTGAATGTTACTTTACAACAGCTGTGAATGTTACTTTACAACAGCTGTAAATGTTACTTTACAACAGCTGTAAATGTTATTTTAAAACTGTCGGAACGTCATTAAAAATCAATGGTTGTGCACCAGCAAGGCAACCAAAATTAAAATTTTGAGAGCATGCATCTTCCCTGTAGCAACATACGGATGTGAGTCATGGAGTATCTTCCTGTCCTTAAGGAAAATACGGACTTTAAAGCTGAAAAGATTCTCAGAATACCATAGACAAAGAAGAAAAAAAAACACTGAAATTCAAAAAGATTTGAACATCAAGGAAGATTGACTAATAAACATTTTGGCCCTACGGAGTGCCATGGCAGACTGGAAAAGCTACTAGCAGAAGGCACAGTACCAGGAAGAAGGAGCAGTGGCCAAGCAACACAAAAACAGGCACACAATATAAGCATTTCCTTGGATATAAAGTGCACAAGGCGGGAAAGCTGACAATAGGCAGGTATTTTTTTCTAGACAGACGGAGATGAGAGTGACGCTCTGCAAAGGGACCGCTACCTGATGATGATGATAGTATGCACACATAGAAAAGGATTAAATCAGAGCATTAACTGAAAGTTCTGAGTGAGATAAAGATGGTCCAAACAATTTTTCAACAATCAAACAAAGAACACAAGTAAATTAAACAGCCTTCTCTCACCCATCAGCGGCAGCTCGGACTGTATAGACACCAGGTACCAGCAGGCGGAAGTAGTCTCCAAAAGCAGCAGACGTGACATTATGGTTGATCCCATCTACAGAAATGACTGCTGAGGAAATTCCCTGGCCAGTTTGTGAATCAATCACAAATCCTTTAATACCAATGTGAACCTGAACAAAAGGCAATGATGATAAAAGTTAGCAGGAATAAATTATGGAAGGTCATACAGGATTACAAAGTAAATGAACATCTTATTAAATTGTGCAAGAGTTTGTATGTGAATAGGCAAAGAGCAGATAGAACACATACAGGAATGCTAGAAAAGTTCTACAGTTTATTGTTTATTTACAGATCATCTTTGTCACACATTAAAAATGATCTGAGTATGTCTATAAGTGTTTTTAGACTAACAAGCTGATGCAACGAAGGTGGCTTCCGCATGGTTTTCCTGTCTCGTCGTCGTAACTAACACATCCAGGGTGTGCAGTCTTTTCAGTGAAAAATCATTTTCCACAAAACTGAAAGCCTCAGAGGATTAGTCTCTAGAGGCACTGATGATGTCTCTTCTGTCCACGGATCACCCATTCCTGACTGTCACACTACCAGCCAGGCGGTCTGCTCTCTGATTGTCTTTCACACCAGAAATAAAGGTGATTCTGCAAAACCCTGTGTGCTGTATTAGATGGAGCCACTGTTTACGTTTATGCCCCACCTTGACCTTTTGTAGCATGCTCTCTGAGTTGCTAACATACACACCTTCATGGAGGGCCAGAACTGACCCCAAGAATACACACCTTCATGGAGGGCCAGAACTGACCCCAAGAATACACACCTTCATGGAGGGCCAGAACTGACCCCAAGAATACACACCTTCATGGAGGGCCAGAACTGACCCCAAGAAAACAAGAAAAAAGTAGTGCAGGTCAGAAGAACTGACTGTAACAAACAGGAATCAAAAATACCAGGCCAATGAAGGCTACCAGAACTGGATCCCATATATGAAACACAGAAACACACAAACAGGAATCAAAAATACCAGGCAAATGAAGGCTACCAGAACTGGCTCCCATATATGAAAGACAGAAACACACAAACAGGAATCAAAAATACCAGGCAAATGAAGGCTACCAGAACTGGCTCCCATATAAGAAACACAGAAGCAAACAAACAGGAGTTCTCTCACAATTTATGCTTAACCTGGACTAAGAAAAGATCCGAACATGAGATTGTGTAACTGTAGTCAGAAGTAAAGTAAAAGACCCTTTTCTGTGCCTTCAGGCGTACTGGGCATATAGGGTTAGATCTATATTTTATAGACCAATTGGCACTTAGTGGGCGATGTGGTCAGCGTAACCCAGCTACCTTTACTTCCCAGGATTGTACAAGTACCCACTTAGGACTGGGTCAACCGGGGAGCCAAGGTCATTTCTGAAAAACATCCAGTACTGCCAGGACCGGAACCTACAATCTTCCTGCGGCTCTAAATTGGACTCAATTTTATATATCAATAATTTACAAACAAGACAATGTCTTCATCGGCACTCACAGAAAGAAGTAGTAAGATAGAAGGACATATTACACAACATAAAAATTGAAAGCTTTAGTTACTGTGCAACAGAACCTGTCACTTCCAGATGGCGTGTGTGCCTCACTATGGAAACAAACGTACTAAGAGCACAACCAACAAGGCACCCCCCAAACAAGGTGTCCTTTTATCAAGTGTAGTTAAGAATCATGTTAAATACACTAACAGCTCATCAGAGGCTACAGGCGATTGCAAGCTACCAGAACCGACCACAACAAGCAAAACCCACCATACCAGGTCAATGTAGGTCAACAGAGCCTCCCTGTTATTCTCCCATTCCTGCGGAAGTTGCTCCACCGGTGGATACTTGCAACAAGACAGCTCGACCGTGATCTCCAGACAGTTGCTGTGTAAGTAGTTGTAATCCTCCATTCCACCTGCAGACAATATTGTACCATTAGTTTACATTGTGTGTGTCATGTATCTTCTACGCTAATGCAGACTTGGCACAAATAAGCTTAAATAAACTTAGCCACGTGGTCCTAGATACTCAAAATTATGCCTCCCACAAACTCCTTTTTACACCACCCTTACATTGTAAACTTTTTTAACCCAAGCCCAGGGAAGAGGTTGTGGTACTTTTCAGCTTTTTCACCTCATCTCAGGGGCTGCAAGATTTGGTAGAGAATTCCTAGGGAGCTTCCTGGAAGGTCCTATACTGGGGGAGGGGGGTAGTTAAATTTCCTGTTCTTCATCTTGTTTCCTTCGCCTGAAATAGATTATCTATATATACAGCCCAAAAAAACGACAGAACAGTTATAGAGCAAACAGCCGGAATCAAACACTTACCGGGTACATCATACCAATGACCTCCGTTAGTGATCCCCTCTGGAAAAGGTTCGCCACAGTTCTGTCCACTGGCCATAGTTTTGTGTTTGCTGGCATAAGTGTGAGCAAGCAGTCGAAACACATCATCATCTGGTGCCAGACTGTATCTACCAGTCATCTGATGACTTGCTGAGTCATCAAAGGGGTAAGAAGCTACAACACTACCACCATGAAGATTAGCCGACAACACAAATGGATTAGCCTTAATCCACTCAATAATAGCTGCAGTTTCTGGCTGAATATCACCTTGACTTCCCCCAAACTGATCTGGAAAATTCCTGTTTAAATCTACACCATTAGCATTTGGTCTGCCCTCTGTTCCCACACAATCTCCTAGTTTTGCACGTTCGAACCCATCAGGATTCATTGATGGCATTATGAAGATATTCGTAGAATCAACAACCTTTTTAACACTGGGATCTTCGTCATAATTAAAAAGCAAATACTGAGCAAGATAAATTAATATTTCTCGACCAACAGCCTCATTACCATGCATATTCCCTATATATTTAAAAAACGGCTCCCCTGGTTCAACTTTGTCCACATTATCTGAAATCTGTATCGCCAGCAAGGATCGATTGTCCACACTTCTTCCCACATGATGCAGCTTGGTCAGTGTTGGGAACTGCTGGTTCAGTTCCGTAAACAAGGCCATCAACTCACTGTAACTGTGATATTTACTGGTGTCAATATCACGAGCACTTGCAATAACAGCCAACAAATAATGGATCAGCAAAACAATTGCAAATTTGTTAAGCACGTGAGGATGACGGCCACTTGCCATGGCTTATCTGTTGAAATCTAGTAGTGTTGTAGTGACTCAATCAGACTGCAATTGGTGTACCAAAAGTACTAGTTTCCTGTGTTGTGACCGACTGCAGTTGCTTGTAACCCTAAAGCTTTCCCTCTGTCCTATTGCCTGCTATATTCTTATTTCTGATAGAATAAGTAGTAGTACACACAGTTGGGCTTCTAGATCTATCATGTGCTTAAGGAATTCTCTCTATTCTAATGTCTGCCATATTATTGTGGCCAGAGATACACACAACAGGCCTTCTAAGCTGCATTAGAGAGCAGTCCAAAAGTACAAATCAAGCTTCTATTGTGTTACCATAAGGCTTTTTCTCTGTTGTAGTTTTAGTATCTGCTATAATATATCGCTGAGTAGAGATAGAAGCAAGCCCCAGACTAATAGGCTTATATCATGTGTTCCTGTTCTAGTGTGTTATATCTCCTGCTAGTGGTAAGCCAGTACAATCTACACATCACACAACTCGGCTGGTCTCCTGTGCTCCCGAAGCTTTCTTTCTCTTCTGTCTATCTAGTGTCTGTGACTGTTTTTTTTCCAATTGCTGGATGTACACAGTTCCTCTTCTACCTTGTTATAACAATTTGACGTATGTATTGTATCACAATCCACCTTCGGCTGCCGTGTACTTACACATAACATACGACCATCAGAATAAATGCAACCATAAATCCGGCTTCTATCCCGAGTTGTTTACACAGTAATAGTTTTATAGTACACAGACCACCCAAACAACAACAACTGCAACCATAAATCCGGCTTCTACTTCTTCCGGCCTAGTTGTCGGAGCTTTTTCTCGTTCTATCTCTAGTGTCTGTTATACCCCCGTGGCTTGGAGTAGAAGTAAACACTGTTGCCTTTCAATGCTGTGCTCTATAAGACCGTCATAACAACAACAGCAAGCACAAATCCTGTTTCACCTCCTCTCTGACCTGCCCCTTCTCTTGTTGTTGGCTCCCAAGCATTGTAAACATTCGCCGGAAATGCCAGGGTTTTAAGTTCTTGCCAATTACTTTCCTCCAATGTTTATAATTGTACTTCTTTTTAGAGTAATTATTATTTTTTAATAATAATTCACATATATTTTTGAAATATTTTATTATTTATATAGTGAACAGTGTATTTTATTGTATTGCCGAAAACTGAAGCTAATAAAATAATGTACAGCCAACCTGGCATGCTAAGGAATATAGTGTATATATATATATATATATATATATATATATATATATATATATATATATATATATATGGTGCCCGGCTCTGTAGCGTAATTGGCTAAACCGGATTGCGCGGAGACCGGGTGACGAACTCCTTGTGGCCCGGGTTCACTCCCGGGGGTAGGCAGAAAAGCCCCATTTCTCCCAGATTTACTGTATTTACAATGGAATCAAGGCCGAAAGGTTGCGATATCCATAATACCGAGCCTAAGGGTTAACAACTCATGGCTTCTGGATACTAAAACAAACAATATATATATATGTATATACATATTCTTAAATGCACTTGAGCACAAACAATGTCAACATTCACAATAATGATATAAGTACCCGTGTGTATATCTCATATGCCGACGGAATCGACTTGAATACGACACGTGAACCAATGGGCATCCCAACACAGGGACCGACATTCCTTTAGACACCCTAGCCATCTTTTGTTTTACACACACACACACACACTACACACACTGACACATATCATAAACACTCTCACCAACACCACACACGCAAACACTCACACCTACACACAGACGTGCGCACATGCACACACATATAACTAGCACGCCACACGCGCTCACAGTCACAAATGTGCACAAAGACTCACAGCCACACACACAGACACCACACACACACACGCGCACACACACCCATTATACTAAATACCCTCCCCCATACCATACACACACACACCTACACGCACACGTGCGTGCGCAACACACTCGCACATGTAATCCACACTTTTCGCTAGACAGTTTGTGAATGCTTAAGAAGTGCCTTACCCCTGTTTAGATGTTCTTTGTAAGCATTAGTTCAAATATTTCATGTCACAAAAATTATTAAATAATCTACAATTCAGCTTAATATTATCATTATTGTTATCATTATTATTTTTTTAATATTATTATTATTATTATTATTATTATTATTATTATTATTATTATTATTATTATTATTATTATTATTATTATTATTACTCGTTGAGACTACTGAAACACGCATCAGGTTACCAGGAATAAGGAGGAAAACAAAGAAAGAAAGAAAATGCCACCATACCTGTTTATGTTCCGTGGGTGCACTATAATGTTTGTGACCTAGGTAATGGTTAATATAGGTCTAGATGTCCAACTGCTGTTGAAACTTGCAGATCTAGTGTGTTTTAAATTGTCAATATTATGTTATTTACGTCATGCATGCTCTATATATTATAACTGAAACTTGTAATGCTAGTCTTGTCTCTATATACACATACAGAGTGTATTTTTTAACGACTGTATTTTGTGAAAATATTGCCGTTTCTATTTTTGTAATCACCATCTGTGTAATTATGCAACACATATTGCTATAGTGGGTCCTATTCACTTTTCCCGGCCCATTTACACACTGCCTGACCTGTCATTCATACTTTCTTAGACTGTTCTACGTCAGAGGGGTGTCACGCTGACTTGCCTCCAATTACATCAGCGCTGATGCCAATTGATCTATACTTCACGACGACGCAGCTTTCAACGACACCAGAACATCTACAATTGGCCCTAACCCAAACCCCCTCACCCACAGCCTGAGCCTAGGTCCCACGTGAGACAGTACAACGTGACACACTTCTGATCTAGACTAGACTGAGAAAGTACAGAGGCCGGGAAACGTAAATAGGACCTTAAAGTGTGTTTTATTGTGGGTACTGTTTTCCACATTACAGCTCTAAAACTATACGTTTAATCTACCACCACCTGAAATATTTGACCTGTTTGTAGTCGGCTAATAAAGAAGTACCAGAAATAGGTTTGTGCGTGTCCCACAGGAGCTTTATAATATTACTAATAATATACTGCTCGAGCCCGGCCGTGTTTTGTGTCTCACTTCCAATTCGGGGAAAAATAAACCATTGAGAAACTTATAAACCTAGAGCTGCTTCACATGAGCTACGTGGCCATTTGTCTTCCTCCAGGTTATCAGTGTCACTGCCGCCTCCTGTTGCAACAGTCAGGTAAATCAGTAGCGACATGTAGCGGCAGATACGTGTTGCCAACGTAACAGGGCTAACTCGGTGATTCTCAAACTGGCTGGCCAGTGACACGGCATAGAAGCACAACTAGTTGTTTTGAATCATTTAGCGATCGTCCAACTAGGGATCTGTTGTAACTACCGCTTCCTGCGTTTCTAGTGTCGGACTGTTTTGAGTTGGATGGGTACCATGTAAACTCCTGGAAAGTGAAGGCGGCCGGCGTGATGCTGACATCACCCACTCAATGCTCATAAAATATGGGTCTCACCATATACGCCGCAAACGCCCGAATGCGTGGAAATGGGTCCTTGTGTGTTAAGTGTATGTTCACCACGCTGGATTTGCAAAGACTGCGGTCTGTGTCCATTTTTTCCCCATGGGACAATGATGGACCAAGACCTACTTTTAGATCTAAAGTAGGTCACGTCCGGCTGTATAAATAGAGAAGGACGGACAGCGTATGGCTTTTTCATATGTATTTCTTACGTCCTTCTTTGGACGTAATTTTTTGTTATTTGAAGCCTTGCTCTGGTTTCTGGGACCTCTCCACGGTGATCCTCATCCGCATGGCGGCACTTTGTGTCATCGGGTGTTTGTCGCTTGTGTGATGTCCTGGTGGGGTAGAAAGTCAGTCAGTCGTCAGTCAGCGTATGGCTTTCGATGGCACAGAAAGGGAGCAGCACCTGTGTGACCCTTTTGTTTACAAAAAGTTGCGACTGCGATGACCTTCTTCATCACATTATCAGTATCGTATCGAGTATCGCGGGTTATCATGTGTCTTCACGTCTGGGGATTGACAGCACCATGAATTATTTCGCGTGTTTTGGGCGACTCTGTGGCCAAACAGAACCATCGATCTTTAGCCAAGTCAAGATTCCTTCACAAGCCAGTGGCTCATCGGTCGTATGAGACTATGTTCATATTTCTATAGACCTCGATAGGTGATGTGGTCAATATCACGCCGGCCGCCTTTACTTCCCAACACTTGACCTGATACCCATTTGAGCTGGGCATCAAGATTATGCTTGGAACAAAATTCGGCTCCACGCAGATTTGAACTCGCTACTTTTGAATCCACAGGCTACCGTGTAACTGCTTCACCGCGGGGGCGGCATCCGTCTTTAGATGAATCGACAGAAGAAGTAACAACTTCGTTTAGAGTAATCGACAAAAGAAATAAAAACTTCATTTACAGTAATCGACAAAAGAAATAGCCACTTCATTAGAGCCGTCGACGGAAGAAATAACCAATGTATTTATAGTAATCGACAGAAAAATATCCACCTCATTTAGAATAATCGACAGAAGAAATTAGGAGTAATCGACATAAGAAATAGCCACGTTATTTATAGTAATCGATAGAAGAAATAACCACTTCATTTAAAATAATCGACAGAATAAATAAACCCATTTACTGTAATCGACTCAAGAAATAGCCACTTCCTTAGAGTAGTCGACGGAAGTAATAACCACTTTTTTTTAAGAGTAATCGCAAAAGAAATAACCAGCTCACTGTGTAGATGTTGTTTGTCTCCCCTCTCATCCCTTCTTTCATCCCTCTGTCCTATTCATATTGCCTTACACAACCTCGCAGATTCGCGCGCGTACACACACACACACACACACAGAGAGAGAGAGAGAGAGAGAGAGAAAGAGAGAAAGAGAGAGAGAGAGAGAGAGAGAGAGAGAGAGAGAGAGAGAGAGATCATAACCAGAAACAGAAAAGGGTCGGCCACGATCCCTACTAAAGA